GGGATAATTCACTGTCTATGCTCTCAATTCAAAACACAAACTGAAACGGCAGTTAATAAAGTAATATTGCTTAATGTTTAATTAATTGATAGAACATTTTTCCTTTTGAACAGTTGAACACACTAGCTGAAATGTGGTTTGACCCCAACTGTAATGTGTGTCAAGAGTGAAATTACACCATAGTGACAATAAAACAGAAAGTTATATGCTGTATGCCCTTTCAACAACATCCACAAAGGGAGCAAAACTGGCGATTGATCTTGAAAACACTGTCACCAAGGCCACAGGGAAATACGAGCCAATGCACAATCGGCAGGGCTAACAATAGACAATGTTGGAGGGATCAGGCAGGTCGGATGAAAGACAGCGATAAAAGAACGCAATATGACATTTTTCCAGGTCATCAAAAAAGAATACTAAAATTGTACAAAAGCTCATCGATGTGTTAACATGTGCAGACACATTCTGCCCAGCAGACGTGTCTGTCCTCACACATGTAAGCACAAACACACTCACAGTCTGCAGGCAGCAGCTTTAACTATACCCGAGATGACAGTGGCTAGGATCACAGAGAAGCAGGTAAGTGTCATGTCAAGGTCGAGCTCCAGGCAGTAATCTAACAGCATGTCTAATCGAAGCTGCAGACTTCACCCATCTGCATGGGTAAAAAAATAAATAAAAACTCCATTTGGAATTATAAACCCTTCGCCGGGCCAAGCTTCAAAAGCCAGGCCTACATGCTCATGTCTTACGTGAGAACAGCCCTCACAACCCGACTTTAGAGGGATGGAGAGGCTGGAAACAAGAAAGAATATTGTGCTTTAAAAAATAACAAAACTCACTCAGATATCAGGTTTTTAGTTATCTGCACAAATCAAAGAGTTTTACCCTGTAAATAGCTTAAAAGCACTCTCCTTTAATCCCCCCAAAAGAGAAACAAAACTCAATGATGGCGAAAATATCCTCTGTAGAATTACACTGATGACTAACATGGATGGGAACATTAGGGCTTATTCATAATAAGGCTTATAGGTAATACCTTTCATCCAAGGCTCCTTTAAACACCTGCTTCCTTTAATATTAACTGGATAATTGTGGGGTGATGTCAGATACATGTGCTTGAATTAACATATGATTAAACTGTGTATAATCAAAGTGACATTGAAACCTTTTTTGGGAATTCGGGCCAGTTAAAGTTTTTTTTTTTCAGGGGGTCTATTAAAAAGAGCCTGGCAGTGAATTTATCATAGCTGGAGACATTTATGAATAAGTCTTCAGCTGGTTGGGTGCCAACTGGCAAAAGTGGCTAGTTTCCATTGAAACACCGTGAGCACAGTCCATCTCTGGTGTTAATGGAAGACATTTTTAGAGCACTTCCATTATCATACTCCATGGCATGCAATTAGAATTTTGCCTTTCTGCATTACTCGTTTGAGACACAGACAAATGTACAGTAGATGTGAAGAGAGGCAGCCAAAATAAGCACAGGAGGGAACGGACACTTTTGCCCGCCTGCTGCAGGGACTGGAGCTAGAATCTTTTTAGTCATGCCAGTAGTGTGGCTTTAGAGATGGCAATGTCGGTCGGTTGTTCGGTTGTTCGGTTGTTCCACCACTGTTGTCCGTACTGAAATATTACAACTATTGCAGGGATTGCAATGAAATTATGCATGGACATTCAGAGGATGACACTGATGTTGATGGTTCCCTGAGTTTCCCTCTGGTGCCCTCATTAGGTTGACATTTTGGATTTTTGGTGAAATATCTCAAAAAGTAGTGGATCCAACGAGGGTTAAAATGAAGGGCAACTGGACTTGGTTGAAGATACTGGAAGACGTTTCGTCCCTCATCCAAAGGACTTCTTCAGTTCTGAAGATCTTGTGATCCAAGATGGCTACTCTGAGTATCAACAGTTAGTGAAAGCTGTAGTTTATACTGTTTATTAGCACTTCTGTGTACTTGTGTCTCATAAATCTTCGTACACAAAGTGCAGCTACAGTGTTTAGTATGCATAAATACCGCACAATGCATTTTTTTTTTCAAACGGTGTAACAATGGCTAACCTGGGTAGTTGTAAACAATGGCTGGTCGTGCAAGGTTTTCCGACTTGTTAACTTGAACGCCATCCACTCGAGCGTGACGTCATTCCCAGCTGTGACCTCCGACTTCCGAGGTAAATGGAACCCACCATAAGGCAAGCTGCCTATGGTTCAGCACTTTTAAATATACCATGACCTGGGTGAGAATGTCAAAGTTTTTTAGACATCCGTTCTGGATGGATTGGCACAAAATTTGGTGCAGGGCATTCATGGTTTCCAGATAATGAATCCTTCGACTTTAGTGATCCTATGACTTTTCTGGTAGCTACACTATGAGGTTTACATTTGTGGTTTAAATGTGTCACACTGCCTATCTGATCGGCCCTGTTTAGTTTAGGTGTCTGTGAGTTTTGTTTATTGGTCTGTTCGGTATCTGTTATTTAGTATGTGTTTTAGGTCCATCTCTTATGTTACACTGTTTCGCCTGGTTTATTCTTGTGAGGATTGTTGTGTTGGTTCTCATTCTGTTTTCTTGTCTTACTACTTAGTCCTGGATTTCAGTTCTGTGTCTTAGTTCAAGTCTTAGTGTTTACTCCTGGTCTGTGTACTTCGGTGTTTGTTACTTTGCCCGTGTCTGCTCTGTGTTCTGTTCTTTGTTCAGTCTGTTTTCCCTGCTGTGTTTGTAGTCTATCTCTATGATTAGCTTGTAGTCTGTTCTGTGTTCCAGTTTGTTTCTTCTAAGTCAGTTTATGTCCCCTGCCAGTTTCATTTATTCATTTGGTTATGATCACTCGGTTAGCCTGTTATGTTCCGTTCAGCCATCTTAGTGGAGTTGCCTGTATTTCTCAGTTACTACTGTCTTGTGTGTTCTGGATTTTGAGTTCCAATTAGAGTCTTGTGTTTTGCAACCTGTTAGTATCTGCCTGTTTTCCCCTGCTGTCTCTCTGCCTGTCTGTGTCTCATCTCAGTCACCTCAGCGTTGCTCGTTAGTACCTGTGTATATATGCTTACTTGTTTCCCTCAGTCTTTGTCCGTTGTTGTGGTTTCTGCTTGTCTTGCCCTGCCTGTTTCCAACCTAAAACCTGCCTGTACCTTGTTTATTCTGTGGATTTTGGATTTCACCCGTTTTGGATTTTTCTGTTGGATGTTTGTTTTTGGATTATTCACTTTGGTTCCTTTGGACTCAGCCACTAAGTTGTAAGTGTGTTCGCTTTTGGTTTGCCTAATAAATCATCAAACTGAATCTTCCTGTTTCCGTGTCCTGCATTTGGGTCCACCAACCTGCTCTACACACTCTCATCACAATCGGTGACAAAATAAAAATAAAATAAAAAAAACGGACTTGTAACTTTGGAGATCCCTTAACAATCAATTTATCCAGTGCTTTGGTTATGACCAAATACCTGAAAAAACATAATCCTCAGCTTTGTTAACATACTAAACTAAGATGGTCAACAAGGTAAACATCATACCTGCTAAATGTCAGCACTGTCAATGTTAGCATACAAACATTAGCATTTAGCTTAAAGCACTCAAAGAGCCTCTAGCATGAGTGTAGACTCTTAGTCTTGTTTTCTAACTACTAAGTCACCCAGGCACAACTATAGCCTGATCACCTGAGTACAGGGGTCAAACAAACTTGAATGAGGCCTTTCAATTCCTCTGATTTACTACTTACAGAGATGACATATACCTAACCTCAGCTCTGCCAATGGCAACCTGCACTCAAAGCCATAATTTGCCATGAGGAATGTATTAACCTGTGCAATAAAGTTAAATGCGCAGGTGCTTTTCACTTGTGCTTGGTCATCAGGTTTTGAAGGGACAAAGGCTCAAGGGAGTGAGGGAAGATGGAGGACTGAGAGGTGCAAGATAGAGAAAGGAAAGAGATGGATGTCGAGGAGAAAGCTAGATGGACAGAGGAGAAGAGAGCCCACTCTTCTCCCAGCAAATGTCCAGACACAAAAGAGAACTTTTTGTCCTTTAGCTGCTGCTGAGGCTATTCTGCTGTCACACAGTGACACCATAATTACAGAGGAAGGACTAAAGGGAGACAGCAACTGCCCACTTAGACTCAGCAGGCAGGGGCAATTATACAACTCCTGCTCCATGTCTGAATTTAACTGTCCCTGTCTTTACATACAATCTCCTCTGGATCTTCAGTGTGTTTTCCTTAACATAACAGGTATTTTTCTCTCAGGTCCAATAGACAGTGGATACTTCCTCACATATGCACATCCAAGAAGGTCCCTATTCCTGCTGGATGCTGCCAAATAGGTTATGATGTTAAGACCAGTCTATAGACATGCCAAAGCCTTCTGAGCAATCAGTGGGAATGATATTCCTATCATTGTCGCTGCCCTGCTCAGAGGTAGAGGCCCTGATGGACATATAATGCTTTTTTCTTTTGAGGAATGATAACATCTCCGGAGCTTTTATTAGAGCTCCTACTGTGATAAGTGTTTGGCACTGTGTATGAATGGTTGATGTATGGCAGCCCTAGGCGATTATTATCCCCACCACATTCATCTCACCAAGACCATTGATTTGCAATTAGTCCAGGGGTGATGTTACACACTCAGGTCTCTCTTTTACAACCAGGTACAGTATCTTTTGTGTGCTGCGCTCAGCTATTGTTGTTGAGTCCCACTGTGTCGCCCCGGGCTCTAAGTCTGTGTGGATAAAGTATTCAGCAAGTGTGCTGTTGTCGACTTCCACCCTGATCCTCTGAATTGCTGTGTGTATAAGTATGCAGGTGGAGTGTCGATGTGTGTCTCCTCAGTCTCCCGCTCCTCCCCTTTCATGAGGTACGCAGGCGGTTTTATCAAACCCTGACTGGGAAGACAGATGGCTCTGAATAGGGGAGCCTAATGTAAAAGTGTGTGGAGTATGGCGGAGTGGGAGATAAGCAGCAGCCAGCCATTTCTCTCTGGCTGTGTTGAGGTACAGGGTCTTAAATCACCTGTTATCTCCTGCAGCCTCAGCCAGACGCTAATGGTCATCACAGCGGGCTGAACCCCGCAGGCAGCAGCAGCAGGGGAAGGCGGGGCGATGTCTGGAGCTGTGGACTCCACCGCTGCTGCAGCAGGCTTCACATGGACACACAGAGGGAGAGTGGATGTTTCATTAGTCTTTGTGCTGTACAGTATAGCAGACGTCTCGTGGACACAAAGCATTACTTACTGTTAAGAGTGATATCCAGACAGAATTATGGTATTAAAGACTGCATTTTAAAGGATTATTCTGGTTTCTTATGAGTTGGGTCTTATTTTCTGAATTTTGTCCATCATTTAGGGAAATATTTTACTCATTAAAGTATTTGCTGAGATCTGGGAAAACAGCAGCTTCACAACAAAGTTGCAAAGTCCAATGGGAAGAAGATATTCTGACAAATTGTGAATTAGCCCAGAGAGATTGTTCACACTGAAAGTTAAGTTAGATAGGGCGTCTCTCATTAGTTTGTTTGTGGGTTCACATATACATCGATCAATCATGCAAGTTTTAGTTCAGGTGTGAGCTCTTTTGTTTATCCTCATGAGTGTCTTATGAGGATAAACATCTTGAGTGGATGAGCATGAAAATGAAACCAAACAAAAATTGGACACCTTATTTGGTGTGTATTTGATTGTTGTTTGATTCCTAAATAAAAACATTTAATCTGCTAAATGCCAAAAAGGTGGTGACAGACTGGTTACATTGCATGCTGATGACCTAGTGTGGAAAAATTCTGGATATTGTTGGAGGCTTAACAGGGAGTGATGAGGAAAAGTGCAGCACAGACAGACTGCCTCAAGTTAAAGTTAATTACCACAAAAAATTAATTTCCCTAAATAGCGTATGAAGTTATATAATTAGTATTCAGTCCCCCCCCCCCCCAATCATATCGTTTCCTACTGGCCCAGTAGCTTTTGATCCATGGTCCGGTACTTGTCCATGGCCTGGGGATTGATAACCTCTTATCTGAAGCACTTTATTTAATGGTAAAATCAAAAATTAACAGTAATAATCCCTCATGGCACAGGAAAACCCTGTACAGTATAGTTAGTCTGTAAACTTTGATGAATGTTAACCACATACAGTTTGGGGAATATGTTTACAGTTTGCCTTCCTTTTCTCTTCCAAATAAGTTTAAACTGTATGTTTGTTCACAGGCCCTGACAACATACTGTATTTTCTCAGTCAGTTTTCTTTACTCTTTAAGCAATGTAGTCTTACATGAACACACAAGGCACACACATTTTCCTCTGTGGTTTTCTTGTTGGTTTGAGTTAGGCAGGGCTTCGTTGGAAAAAGGTGATGTCACAGACTTCTGTGCACCAATCAAAGTTTAGCAACATCTGAATCAGAATCGAATGACTGGGCTGTTCAGTCACTGTCTGTGAAATCGTATGACACAGCACCCACACAGTCATGATAAAGCATTTCATAGGAGGTTTTGCCTGTTGAACTCTGCTGAAAGGTCCACTAACTTAGACAGACTGAGCGGGTGGATGGGCGCGTCCCTGTACTTTGTGGGCGTGCTGTGCCTGCAGCAGATCGTGAGCAGAAGACTGTATAAGAGAAAAAGAAAAGAACGTTGGAAACCTAGTAATCAGAACAGTCTGAGCTTTTTGCTTACAGGAATTACTTTTGCTCTTACTCTTTAATTAAAATTGTGGCCACATTCAATATGAACATCCATCACTGTAACATTATATATGACGGAAAATAAGTGAAAGCATAATAGGTCCTCTTTAAAACCTGGTTAATTGTTTGACCGTGTTTCTTTCCTTGTCAGACACATTCCCAGATCTCAACAATTACTGATAGAAATAACGGCCATAACTATTAAAATAAAACATATGTTTTGTAATAAGTGACAATTAGCCTTTAAAACATCATCATGTGCTTTCACAATATTACAGTCATTGCCATCATTACCATGTATTTATATGCACTATTACGACATCATTGTCACAGTTCTAATAACACACTCGGTCTTCATCAGACTGGTAATACAAAGCGCTTTGTCTGTTTTACAACAAAAGGAAGCTACAGAGAGTCAAGTGACTGCAGCTCATTTATCTGTGGGACATCGCAGAGCTCTTGGACCAGCTGTGCTCTTTATAAAACTGTCAAAAACTCTTGGTAGCCTACCTGAAAGTCAGAAAGTTGTTGACAAGCATGTCCTGCTGTTATTTCTGATAAAAATTGATATACCTGAAGTGAATAGTTATAGTGACACTTATAACTTCAACAATTAGTCGATTAAGCCATAAGTTGTCAAGTATTAAAGTAGCCTAATCGCCAACTATTTTCATGATCAATTAATTGTTTTAAGTGATTCTCTGATTTCAGTGTCTCAAATATTTCCTGGTTTCTCTACTCCTCTGTGACAGTAAACTGAATATATTTCATTTGTGGACGTCATCTGGTGCTTTGAGGAAACACATCAACATTTTCTGACAGTTTATGGACTAAACAACTAATCATTAATCTGTCAATCATTTTCACAATTGATGGATGTTGCGGCCCTAGTGACACTGAATCAATTGCTTAAAATGGGTTTTAACTAGGGCTGGGCACGTTAAGGCGTTATTGTTAAGGCATTAATTAATTAATGCCGACAATTATTTCAATGTAGTTTTGTAGACATCGTCCCAACCCTACTGAACAGACTGTTTCTGCTGCTCACTGATAAAAGATACCTGATGCCGATACCTGTTCAGGGATAAAAAACAAGAAAATTGCACTGTGATGGCAACTTGTTTTAACAAGCTAGATAAAAGGTAATGCCCTGGCAGTGGCAAATAGCTTTGGTTTAATATTTGATTTGATTACATTGTTTAAGTTGAGATTTACAAGAAATATTTTATTGCTACTGTGTAAAGGGAATACTGCTGGTAAAATGCACCTTATTTGTTTAAAGTGTTTGCAAACCACACGTTATTACACTTTTGTGAATATAGCAGTACATTAAAATAAAAATTGCGCAATACACTATTTTAGAATTCATTAGGCTATTCAATTTTATGCTTAACAATGCAATTAATCACGATTAAAAATTTTAATCGTTGCACTGTATGGTTGCAGGCTGATAGCAATATGTAGAACTTTTATAGACTGCGTGTACAATGTTACATGAATATGAGCATTTAATATATGCATCTTTTAGATTTTTTAGTAAATATAATCTAGGCTCAATGCATGCCAAAGTATCCAACTGGAAGCTTACAAATATAGTGCCCTTGAAAACGTTATGTCCAAAATCACAAGGGTCTAACAATCAAAAATAATCAAATTTGTATTAATTTGGGCAGACCTCCGCCTTCAAAAGGGGAGTAGAGTGGCTGTGTTAGACCAACAGAATGAAACAAATAAGAAAATACACATTCCTTATTGAATTCATAAAGACAGGTGATACGGTAGCAAAATGTTCAGAAGACATATCTGTTTTTCAAACAATAAAGTCCTCCGGTGTGTCAGCACTCCATTAGAAACACTGATTTACTGGATTCACAGCAGGGATCACAGTTAAGTATAGTACGTGTGCCAAATAAAATGCCTTTGTTCCTCTGAGTGATGATGTACTCCTCAACGGCTTAAGTTGGCCCTGCTGTGTGCCAAGAATCAGGTTTATAGTGAGTCGCGATAACAGGTGGGAATAAAATTCGGAGATAATAAAATCCAAACAGCCAATTGCTGAGTTGATTTAAGGTGAAGAGGAGAAAGATTGACACCCTCCAATCTTCTCTCCGCCTTGTGAAAACCTGACAGTTTCTTGTTAGAGTTCCTCCCCTCATCTTTGATGTGAGCCAGGTACCGTAGGGCAGACTTGCTACTGCTGCGCCAACAGAGTACTGATTGGAGCCGGCCAGCACTACAATAAGCATTTCCATTTCCTCTCCGTTTTTTCATGAGTCAGTCAGAATTAATTCGGCTGCCCTTTACAAGATTAGAATTCCACGAGGCGATGGCATACCCACTTATCTCTATATAATATGAATTCCATCAGAGTCACACGGCCACATTGAAATCTTGGTCCATGTTCTTGGAGCATTAAAGGACAGGTACATAATATTTCAACTTGGTTTTAAAACAACACCTGCAAATACTGCACCTGCAAAATTATTGACATTTCCATCAGCCTCAGCTGTACTTTGTGTTTAAGATTTTATAGCAAATGTTAGCATGCTAACACATTAGATGGTGATCCTAATAATTATTACCTGCTAAACATCAGCATGTTAACAGCGTCCTTGTGTTAGCATGCTAAAGTTAGCATTTAGCTCAGACTACAGCCTCACAGAACTGTTAGCATGACTGTAGAAACTTTAATTGGGTCTCAGTTCGCACCGTTCCATACTTACACTTTGACATTTACACTTACATTTTGAGTGCATTCACATTGACAAGAATGAACTGAAGTGCGCTATGAGTACCCGCATGGTGTAAGCTACTTATAGCGGTCAAAGAAGTTGAGTGTGGAACGTTGGACACTTCTCACCTCCAAGGATGCCATATTGGCTATGTAGCGGAAGGAGACGGAGTGTAGGTGCCCAATCCATGGCTGCCTGATCCCTTCTGCACATGCGCATCATTCAAAGGTTTCCACAAATGTGCCTATTTAAAATGATCCAACTAAATCTTTCAAATCAAGATAAAAAGAGCCCAGCCCCACCCTCCCCCATCATCCTCTGTGACTCCCCCCGTCGCCACTGTGGACTCCTTCTGCTTCCTTTCCCTCACCAAAAAGGCTGTACTTCCTGCGGCAGTTGAAGAAGTTCAGCCTGCCAAAGTCAATGATCGTGCATTGATACACCGCCATCACCTCCTCCATCACCATCTGGTACACTGCTGCCACTGCCAGGGACAAGGGCAGGTGGCAGCGTATCATTCGGTCTGCGGAGAAGGTGATTGGCTGCAATCTTAAATCACTTCAGGACCTGTATGCCACCAGGACTCTGAGGCGAACAGGAAAATTTGTGGCTGACTCCTCCCACCCTGGACAAAAACTGTTTCAGACTCTCCTCTCAGGAAAGAGGCTGTAGTCCATCAGGACCAAAACCTCTCGCCGCAAAAACAGCTTCTTCCTGTCTGCAGCTAGCCTCATTAACAAGGCCCGGGTCCCCCACTGACATTCCCCCCTTACTCCAAATAATGCCAATGTCTCTGCATGTGTAAATATTATTTTATTTCATCATGCACAAACATGGCATATTGCACATATTTGTTGTTAATTGTTGTTGTTCTATATTTTGTCAATTATATATTTATGTACACAATATCTTCTTCCGTTGCAATATGTCTGCACAACAAACCCGGAGTAATGCACATGTAAATATCTGCCATGTTATTCTTTCCCTGCAAATAGTTGTATTATTTTTCTCTAATTCTTTTTATTATTCTACATTATTTATTTCTACATTTATCTATATCAACTGTATGTTTGTCTACGTGTAGCATCTTATCACCAAAGCAAATTCCTTCTACGTGTAAAATACTACTTCGCAATAAAGCTCCTTCTGATTCTGAGATAACAAAATGGTTTTTAATCACTGGAAATGAAAGTGTCCACTATGATGTAATACGAATATACTTAAGATATGAAAAACCTTGAATAACAGTACATTTTTAATTTCTAACAATGACAATTCAACAATGTAGCAACACAGAGGAGCCTAACCCCGGCTGATGTGCACAGCTGTAGTGTTAGCCGGTCGACATGCATACAATTGCTGACTTAAGTTTAGGCACACACCCCTGTGATGATTAGGGTAAGGGGCTTTGGGGAGCTGTCAACGTAGCTGGCTACCTAGGGACCACAAACTTATTTCATACTCGTAAAAATGGTGGCCAAGGAAGCTGCAGCTGTAGCAACTGCCCACAAAAGCAAGTAAAAGTGTGTTAATTTTTAATAAAAATTTAGTACAAGAAATGATATTGTTACACTTCGAGAAGAAGCAGAAGAAGAAGGAGACGGAGGAGAAGGAAGAGAAGAAGTAGGAGAAGATGGAGGAGGAGGACAAGATGAAGGAGAAAAAGGAGAAGAAATTATGTTCAGTCATTTCCCTCATTGTGCTCTCTACGAGCGCCGCAACATTTACACTACAAATGCAGAGAAAGAAACCTCCCCGCTATAAACCTGAATGCTCTCTATCAGGAGCAGAGTCCAATTAACAGAATAATTAACTGAACTAATGCCTCTCTTAAACGACTGTTACAGGCCACTGTGACAGCAACGAGTGTATTTTAATTAAAGTGCCCTCCAGTTAGCGGTGTGCGTTTATAAAGCCCATGAGGGAGTCTTTCCCAGTGAAAAGAGATGTTCAATGAACTGCTTTACGCTGCATGTGCATTGTGAACGCTTTGTCAACGTGGGCTAAATTGGTTACGGGTTGTTGTCAGGCAGGGGAAAATAAAGCAATAAAACTATTACTCTCCCTCGCACACACCAAAAAGCTCATCTCCGCTACCAGTGCTACGGCTTTCCTTATGGGTGTCCAATGAAGCATGCAGATCAGTGTTGAAATTAAAGAGGGATCTGTAATGAAACTCCCAGAGCCCCCTCAGTAAGAAAGTAACAAGACAGCCCATAAATAAGACACAGAGAACGAGATCATAAACGATTTAGTCATGCAGGAAGCAGGAAGTAGGACACTAGACAAGAGCAGGAAGTCTTCTAGTGCTTAAATGATGCACCTGCATTGTGGCTCCACAGGGAGAGATGTTTGGTATTTGGGGCAGAAATGTCATGCAGCTGTCACAAGGCATATTCAAATAAGGACGGTTATGTCTCTGTTGAAGGTGATGATCTTTCTCATCAGTTTGAAATGTAAATCAAATACAGATTTAAGAGATTTTGCTCTGAAATGACTAGAATATGGATCCTCTGAATGATTTATAAAACAAACTAGTGCTACTTCTTGAAGGTAGGAGGCAGCTCTAATCCTGGGATGCCAAAATGATATAAATTTCAGGGTCCTTCTTTTTATGGAGATATCAAAAGATAAACTTACAGTAATGACTTACTCTTCGAAAATAAATGGATACCCTTCAGGAAATGAACTCTTCAAATATATATATGTATAAAAAAGCCTTGATTTCCAGTTTGGAATGTGTGTAATGTAGCTGAAGCATGTGCAGCCTGATTAAATGAGCAGGTGTCATACGTTAAGAGATAGAGGAGCAGATGGTGAAGAGAATCAGACCGTAATGGGGAAAAAAAACTGTGTTGGTTTCTCAAGTTTATTCGATCTGTGGTTATCAAAGACAATGCCCAAGAACATAAATTATGAAAAAAAAAACAGCCTTCATGATGGGGACTTGATATGACATAGCATTACCATTTTCAAACATAAGCATATTTTTCCTCATTTATCTTAAAACAGCAATGTTAAAAGTAAAAAAACAAACAAACAAACAGATGGACAGAACAGACAGCAGAGATGTCTGTAAAGGACATTATCTCAGTGGAGTGCTTCTTTTGGTGAGCCTTGGGACGGCTCCTGTGTCTGTGTGTGTGCGTGCACCATGAGTTCACCATTCTCCACATAATCTTACCATTGTTCTAGAGGTCATCAGCGGAGTGACTGGAGTTCACCATTGTTCCAAGTGCTGGGGGCTGAGGACAATCCCCACTGTCACCACCAGCCTCCCACTGGCCACACAAACATTATTCAGTCGGGAGGAAAGCCAGAAATAAAAACACACACTGCTCACCAATAACCAGGCACCAGGTCGTGACTTGGCCCCTTAGACTTAAAATAGCGCACACAGGCACACTTGATTGGACACACATACATCCATCCATACACACACACACACACACACACACTGTACAGTATACAATGCACAATGCCCCATACACACAAATTAAGACTGTTAAAAACACTTGATAAAAGCACAATATGGTATTATAAAATTAATTGCACAAGTAGAGACAAGATGGAGGAAGCACAGTGAGTGAAGCAGGAAGAGGGGGAGGTGCAGCGGTGATCATGGCAAGAAGAGGATACAGTACATTCAGTAAACAAAAATAAAACTGGAGAAAAAGAAAAAAAAGGCAAGATTAAAATCAAAAAACACCGAAAAGAATTAAATAAAAATCAAAATACCTTTTTCCAGTTTGTCTCTATATTTTTTTTTTCAGTCATTGATTCGAAGCTATCTCTGGGGTGTACCAGTCTTACAGTAGCCCCCAGTCTTGTCTCCCAAGAGCGAGCTCGGTCAGTTGTGTGGATTTTAATTGTTTTCTTGCTTTATTTAAAATCAATGTTCAACGTCTACATCTCTACAGACCCAACGTTGGAGCATCGGGCGGGGGAGTAGTGGTAGGGTGCAAGTCTTCCATGACCTGACATATGCACAGGCAATTATACAAGTGCACACACGCACATTCGCGCACACAGACACACACACACACGCTCTACCATAAACATACAGAGTGCATTCTCATCCCAATCACCCCTGGGTACAGGCCTTTTCATTTCTTCTCAGCTTAGCGCACTGAGTACGCCTCTCTCTTCTGTACAAAAGCAGCCTCCTTCCCTGGAATCGGAGTCTGCGTGTTTCTCCTCAGTCCTTCTCTTGTTTAATTTTTTTTCATTTCTTCATTTACTTCTTTTGAGAGTTGAGCAGTTTGTCTGCCTCGGGGTATGTTGGGTACTTCACGGTCTCGATTTTCTCTTTGACCTTGTAGGAAGGGTAGAGACCAGTGCGGCCCAGTTTGCGGTTGATGCCTTTGGAGTACCCGTCCCAGTGGTTGCCGGCCACACCGATTACGTCACCGGGCTCCAGGGGAATGTCCTCACTGTTGCGTGGCTGGTGGGGGTAGACGGCAATCTGGTTGTGTGCGTTTTGACCTCCAAAGTAGTAGATGTCATCCAGGGAGTAGAAGAAGGAGGAGGCATCTGGGTGCAGCATCTGCATAATCTCATAGGCCACACGGCAGACCTGAGACAGGAACAGAATCAGGGATTAGTTTATATTTAGATCTGTAAAGGTAAATGAAGAAATTTAGAGGCTGTAGAGGCAAGAAAACATGCTGCTAGAAAGACAAAGGGACTTCTCACTGTCTTTTCAGACGAGGAGCGATTGACGCGCTTAGTAATTAATTTTCAATAAAAGGTTGGCGGGCAGGTAGGGAGGCATGGGCAATGTGACAAGCGGAGCAAGAAGGGGGCGCAATACCATGAGTTGAATTGTCTTGAACTTTTTTTCTACGTGATGCACAGCGCAAATTAGGGCTAATCAATTTGGGGAAAAAATCGAATTGCGATTACGATTCAATTTGTGATTTTTTTAAAAGTTCAATATTCACTGCCAGTCTATATTTGACGAAAGCTGCGACAAGCAGCACAGAGAAGATGAACTGGGCGGGAAGTCAGACACAGAATGGCATAGAGAATGAACGTTTGATTTTCAAAATAAAACACGCTGTGCAGACTTCCGATCTTATATCAACAATAAATACAGTTAAAACACACAAAAAAGAAACTATGTAACTATTTTACGTAGCCTAAAGCACAAAAATCAAGGACAACTGAACAAATTAACAAAATCTGAACAAGTCAGCAAAAATCAGGCAGGCAAAATGCTCTTATTCTGAAATGCACCATGTGGATATTTAGCCTGCAGAGAGCGGAGTGAAACAGGCTCACAGAGAGCCGTAGTTGAAGCACAGAAAATGACATTAACAGCACGTCAACAACGTGGGGCAGCCTGAACGCTCCGCTGCTAAAACACTTCAGTGTGAGTTGATGCTGAACGAACCATGGCACGGCCGCTGCCTGTGCCATTATCCCATGTTTTTCTCTAGTTTTGTTTGTTGTTGTAAAATGTACATGCCCTGTGCCTCTGATTGGTGAGTAGGACCATAAAAAGGAGAAGCATGGCGCTTGTGATTGGCAAGCACACAAGGATGACAACGGCATGAATTTGTAACTGCATGACTGTTTAAAACGGGTCAGATGCTCTGTATAATTAACCTACATTTTAAATCGCTGTCTTCACAATTAGATAATCACATTTTTTGATTAATGATTAATCATTCAGCCCTAGTGCAAATCGATGAAGACTGATCCTATCTATTAGGACATAAACAGGAGGGCCTTCGCACGGAAGATCTTCAGTGCAAGACTGGATGTGTCAGATAACATTACGTATGGTTTTAACTTAAGCTAGGCAATAAAGAAAACAGAGTTGTACTGGCAGGGATACAGTAGTGCACGGAAGCCGTTTCCATGGTTACCACACGTAGAGCACCTGCCTGTCTGTTCACATGTGGAGCGCAGTGAGACCCCACAGATCCAAACGAGTATGCAGGTGGAGTACCGCTCCCAGTCTGAGAAGACCTTAACACATACACATTTCGTTTCAGTCCCAATTAAAAAAAAGGGTGCTATATACAAGTGTGTTAACAAATGTGCTAAACGACTCATTCCAGGTCTGATCCTTGAAGTGGACCAAGTCCAGAGTGTGAATAGGAATTACGTGGTACACATATTGCTTTAAGGGCCGGCAGCAGGAGGCCCGTTTTCTGCGTGTTATAGATTCCATTGTTATGTCAAAGCTGGCTATGCTTTGAAACAGGTGAGTGAAAATGGGACAATGATGTTGTTGACAATCACATGACAAAGTGGTGCAAGGTTTGTCTTGTGACAAACTGGAAACTTCAAGTGATGATTGTCTTTCCTAAAGCTCTGACAGGCCGTTTTAATGCAAAAGCATTTATCAATTTGAATAGATAATGTTTTTTGCAGCCCTGTTTCATAATTCATAATGTAATCAAGTTGTTTTTGTTTTTATCGCATTGATTTTTATTTGTAATTCTTTACCTGCTTTTAAAAGTGTGCTATTAAAGTTGAAGTAATTGCTGTTACTTGGTTATTCCTATTCTTCTTTATACTTATTATCATTGTTAATTCAACAACAATGTCCATTATTTATCTTGGAAACAAGATCTAGGTTCTAAATCTAAGTATAAGGTCCACTTACTTCCAAAGCCAATACTTTATTTTGAACGGTAGTTTATGTGCATCATCAAAGGCATGTTAAGGAATTCTTATAGGAAACATTACATACCAATGTACGTATTGTTAATAACACATGCCCCAGAACAACAACAATAATTGCACTTTTGACTATATTTCCAAAGCTTTCTAAATTTATTCAACATCCATGCTTCCTTGTCAGCTACCAAGCACTCATCAAAATTCTAGTCAGCTCTCCATGTTTGGACTGCTTTCATCTTAACATCAAATCCATCCCGACCTTCACTTTCATGCGAAAACACTTCAAAATACCATTTCATGCAGTCTCTAAATGTGGTCTGAGGAGAGTGGATTGACCTGTGAGGAGAAGGTGCAGACCAGGAAGTCAGTCTGAGACAAGAAGTGGATGTCCAGGATGACTCCTCTGAGTGAGTTCTCGGTATATCGGTTGTGAAGGCCTGCCGACCACGATATGGAATTATCACTGATGAACTCATAGTCTGGATACCTGGAAGGGACAATTAAGGCTTAAGAATTAAGCAAACCTCAAATAAATATGGCTAGATACTTAGATAAAAACATACTCTGACATACCCAATGGACAGACTCAGAGTAGGCATAAACACACACACACACACACACACACTCCTGGACACTGACTTGGTCTTGGCTTCTTGCAGCAGAGAGGGGTCGTCAGTGGCCAGGTAAACCCGTTTCTTGTCGACGTGGACACGTCTGGCCAGATGTTGGAACTGCTCCTCCACATGCAGCATGTACTCCTCAATGGGGTGGAAGGCCGCCTCTGTCCCCACTTTGTCTGTCCTCCTCACATGGACTCTACAGTAAGACAAACAGGGACACAGACAGGGTTACAGACTAGTGTTGTATCTTAACTATTATTGAGAATAATTTAGTTCTATTTCACTGCTTTTTGTTTGGTTTTGGATAGTAGGAGAACACAATTTCAAGACTTCCTGCTACATATGAAACTTCAAAAGTCTGTGACAGTTGGCTGAAACTGAACCATAACCCATTGCTTTTGTCTCACACCCAGGGTAATATATCTTCCATTTCGGGCTACAGGAACTTCCTGTTTTACACCACGAAGCAAAGTTTGTTTGTGCTGTAAAGCAAAACAGCTTTAGAGCCACCAGTACACTTTTAAGTATAAGCTGCTTTAATGCTGAGCCATGCAAATCTCGTCTGCTTCCTCAAAACAAATGTCTGTGTTTAGAAACATCTAGGCAAGAGTGCTTGGACAAAATAGAAAACTTTTTCTCAGACACACAGGATTTGCAAATACTCGCAATGATCTATTGTCACGTGCGTAACAAGAGGACAAGTCTGATAGGCTGTCCTAAAGCACTGTATTAAAGAGAGGATGATCTACAAATGAATCATAATTAAAGGGAAACAAGGTGAAGGGAAATCATTCACTGGTAATAAATCAATAACAACACTGAGCTTACTTCTAAAAAAACCTACAGTGGTGAAACTAAAAAGGAATGACAGTATATTTGGGGAATCTTTTTATTGCTGGTATACATGCAAAGAAAAAAAGGGGGGGAAAAGGCAAACAGTGATAAAGAAGAAGTTTAAGAAATGGAGAGAGACAGAAACATAGACAGAAAGAGAAATAACCTGTCTTTGTCATAGCTTCCAGTAAGCAAGGACAGAGAGTGCCGTCACTGGCTGTACATATGAGAAAAAGAGCGCAGCTTGTAAACAGAACAAAGGATGGGCAAGAATGGAAATATTTTTTTCTCCTGACACACAAGCATCTCTCAAACTGATGGACGCTGAAACACAATTTTATTCCTACAAGAACTATTCAATTACAATATTACCCAGCCACATCTGCATTGTGACTTCTGGCCTTGAGGAGCAGATTCAATTATAATAATAACAAAAAAAAAATTCAGCTTTAATTTATTGACTGGAAAATTGAGTGTGTCCCCCCCCCCCCCACAAGTGCAACCAGCTGTCTACTGCTAAGCAAGGAGCAGCTCCACTGGAACATCTCGGGTAAGAAGCCTTTTTAAGGACAATAAAGAATATTAAGTCTTTTACTCCCCCCTTCGGGATTTCCCGACTACTTAAGGGTTTCAAACTGCTTCTTTAACCTCAAGGCTACAGCTAACTCTTTTGTGAGAATGAAGTAGAGCTAGAAAAAGTAAAAAAGAAACAGTCAAAGGATCAGAGAAAGAGAATAAACAGGTTGTACCTAATTTCTACCACTTGCCAGTGATCAGTCAGTGACTATAGGGGATGCTCGCCCGGAGAAACAGAGCTTTTATTTATGTGGCAAATGGAACCCAAAGAATGGATTGCGAATGAGTGGGTGGCAGGGGTGTCGGAGTCTTTGATCAGACAGAGGTCTTGACTCCAGGCTTTTCCATCCTTTGTCAGGGTCCCTCTCTCCTGCTCATTCGCTTCTTTCATGTCTACTGTTTGTTGTTCCTGTGAACCCTCTTTTTGTCTTGCCCCTTTCTTTCTCCGTCAGAGCAACAGAGGCTGCACTCAGGCATTGCTTAGCTCTTAGCCATCTCCTCCCTCCCTTAGCCCCCCACCCCCCGCCAGCCCCACACTACCGCCACAATAATTCAATTCATTTCTGTGTATTCATACAGTACTGGGAAGGCAGGGCAATCCTCATGGTGGGCGTAAAAGCATACATTAAAGACATCAAACACCCACACTAGACACAGCCAAGTGCTGATTCTGGAAGATTGTGACAATAGCATATAGACTGCATACATTTTTTTAGACCTCAGTGATGCCTATCAGCCGAAGAAGAATACAGCAACTTTGGGCTACTTGTTTTTTCAAACAGACATCTAAACATGCCAAAGTTATTCTTAAGATTTACCTGCACTGTTCATAGTTACAGAAGGGTGACAAAGTGAAGGAAAGGCCAACATAAAGTGTCTTACCGTAATAAGGTTTTGGGCCACCATGAGCCTCCAGAAGAGCTTAAGTGCTCTTAGCATAGAGTATACAAGTCTGTGGAATTCAACTTGAGGGATAAACACCATTCTTCTAAAAGACTGGTGTTTAAATGATGACCTCTCTCATTTATGTAATTTACACACGCAGCAGGCAGCTGTTCTTACCAAAAAAAAGCTATGAAATTGCACTGTATGTTGTTGATGTAGCTGGTGAACATAGTAGAGCATTTTACAGCCAAGAGTCAGATAGTTCCCTCAGGAGTTGGTGGAGACCAAAACAAAGCTAAAAGGAGAGTCCATACTGCACTTGCATTTATCATGTGGCCAGAAAAGTTACTCAAGATGAATGATAATGTTGTTTCGAATCTCCCTAATGTGTAAATAAGCAACTATTTGCTAACAAGTTCATCATACCTACATAAAAGGTCAATGCTGTGTTTACAGCTTGTCTTTGCAGTTAATGCAAGATTTAATTTTCAGAACCATACAACTAAAGCTGACATTTATTAGTGAGACACCCTTTCATGAATTACACATTTACTAGATTTCAGTTTATACCAATTTTTCATCTGTGTTTTTTGTCCCCACGTACTCATACTTGTTCTGTTTTCTGCTGCAAGATACAGGTGCTGGTCATATAATTAGAATTTCATCAAAAAGTTTATTTATTTCAGTAATTCCATTCAAAAAGTAAAACTTGGATATTATATTCATTCATTACACACAGACTGATATATTTCAAATGTTTATTTCATTTAATTGTGATGATTAAAACTGATAACTAATGAAAATCCCAAATTCAGTATCTCCGAAAATTAGAATATTAAGACCAATACAAAAAAAGGATTTTTAGAAATGTTGGCCAACTGAAAAGTATGAACATGAAAAGTATGAGCATGTACAGCACTCAATACTTAGCTGGGGCTCCTTTTGCATGAATTACTGCAGCAAAGCGGCGTGGCATGGAGTCCATCAGCCTGTGGCACTGCTCAGGTGTTATGAGAGCCCAGGTTGCTCTGATAGTGGCCTTCAGCTCTTCTGCATTGTTGGGTCTGGCGTATTGCATCTTCCTCTTCACAATACCCCATAGATTTTCTATAGGGTTAAGGTCAGGCGAGTTTGCTGGCCAATAAGAACAGGGATACCATGGTCCTTAAACCAGGTACTGGTAGCTTTGGCACTGTGTGCAGGTGCCAAGTCTTGTTGGAAAATTAAATCTGCATCTCCATAAAGTTGGTCAGCAGCAGGAAGCATGAAGTGCTCTAAAACTTCCTGGTAGATGGGCTGTGTTGACCTTGGACCACAGAAAACACAGTGGACCAACACCAGCAGATGACATGGCACCCCAAACCATCCCTGACTGTGGAAACTTTACACCTTCTTCAAGCAACGTGGATTCTGTGCCTCTCCTCTCTTCCTCCAGACTCTGGAACCTTGGTTTCCAAAGGAAATGCAAAATTTACTTTCATCAGAGAACATAACTTTGGACTACTCAGCAGCAGTCCAGTCCTTTTTGTCTTTAGCCTAGGCGAGACGCTGTGTCTTGTTCAAGAGTGGCTTGACACAAGGAATGCGACAGCTGAAACCCATGTCTTGCATACGTCTGTGCGTGGTGGTTCTTGAAGCACTGACTCCAGCTGCAGTCCACTCTTTGTGAATTTCCCCCACATTTTTGAATGGGTTTTGTTTCACAATCCTCTCCAGGGTGCGGTTATCCCTATTGCTTGTACACTTTTTTCTACCACATCTTTTCCTTCCCTTCGCCTCTCTATTAATGTGCTTGGACACAGAGCTCTGTGAACAGCCAGCCTCTTTAGCAATGACCTTTTGTGTCTTGCCCTCCTTGTGCAAGGTGTCAATGGTCGTCTTTTGGACAGCTGTCAAGTAAGCATGTCTTCCCCATGATTGTGTAGCCTACAAAACTAGACTGAGAGGCCATTTAAAGGCCTTTGCAGGTGTTTTGAGTTAATTAGCTGATTAGAGTGCGGCACCAGGTGTCTTCAATATTGAACCTTTTCATAATATTCTAATTTTTTGAGATACTGATTTTGGGGTTTTCATTAGTTCTCAGTTATAATCATCAAAATTAAAAGGAATGAACATTTGAAATATATCAGTCTGTGTGGAATGAATGTATAAATTATACAAGTTTCACTTTTTGAATGGAATTACTGAAATAAATCAACTTTTTGATGACATTCTAACTATATGACCAGCACCTGTATAAACAAGGGTAGTTTTTTAGTTTATTATAAATTGTGCTCTCTTGCATTGACGGCGAGTTAAAACAAAATTGTGAGAATGTTAATTAGTTGTTGATAATGTAAGGGGGAAATATACTAGTTTTTACCTGTGTTTTACTTTGAGAGCTCTGGGATTTAAAAAAGTATACAAAGGAAGCTTAATTCATAGGGAACCGACATGGCACAAGATATTACTAAAAAAAGATATATACAATAGATCCACCTCTTGGTAACTACATTGCCATGGCAATAATGCTGCTCTGCTATCTGCAATAGACCCAGTAACCCTACTTTCTCTCTCTCTCTCTCTGACAATCCTTGCAACCATTAAGAAGCATTAAATGGTGGCAGGCTGATAGCTTCTTTTAGTCGGTGGCTTCCAGCCTTCCTGCAGCAGTTGGTTGTGCTGGTGACTGAGGACGTGGGGGGGTCAGCTGGTATGAGTTGTTGAGTGCTCTCAGGACTAGCTGCCTTTCTATCTCTCATGGTACTCACTCCATCAACCTCTGCATCTCCCACCGCTGCCACCTTCTTGCCTCTGTCTTGCACCACTGACACTATGGATCTCTTTCAATGAAACTTTTACATCTCACATTCACCTCCCTCCATCACTTTTCCATGCACATACATATCGGCCTTCCCCCACAGTGCTGATAGAAGCGCATAGGCACTTTGTTGCAACATCAGTGCAGAGCAGAGTGGATATATCAAGAGCTGAGAAGGGAAGGGAAAAAGAGGGATTAAAACTTTGTTCTATCCAGCACTTCACTTTCAATAACACTTTCCCCCAGTGATATAGAGGGAGAAAATGGTGGGATATATGAGTGTGTGTGTATGTGTGTGTGTGCGTGTGTTGGGGGTGGAGATGTGGGGGGAGTGGGAAACACAAAGAACAGTGATAGAGATGTCTGTAAAACTATGAGACCAAGAGAATTGTGGGTAGGGATGTGCGCCCGGGGAACGTGAGGGAGAGGTGAGTGTGAAATATAAAAATTTGAAGCAAGATGAACAAATGAAGAAGGAGCAACGATCACAGATGAGAGGATGTGAGAGGACGGGGAGATTGAAAAAGTTGGGATGAGTCACAGAAAATAAAAAATGGAGGGGGGAGGGGGGGTCAAAGCGGGATTGGAGAAAGAGACGGCAGCTGCTGTGGTGATGAAAGACAGAGAGGTAGAAACCAAAGAGGAGAGCATCTGAAAAAAGACAGACAGAGAAAAGAGAGAGTGTAACAAGAGGGAGTGAGAACTAAGCAGAGCAGGACAAGGAAAAGTGAGGAAGAACGGTGATGATCGCCCGCAGCAAAATGTTAAGAAGGTGTGAAAAGGAGGAGTTATGAAGGGCAAGGAGCTGGCACAGAGACAATGAACATATGGATGACAGAGATATGAAGGGGATGACAGAACTAAACCAGGCTGGCTTCATAAACTATTAGCATATAACCCTTAGCGTTTGTTTTAAACTACTTCCTTTACCAGGCGGGTGGAGTTGGCCTCATGGGATGGTGCAGAAACTTTAGACAATCTCAGCAAAGTCCCTAAAAGTAATTTCACATACTTTTCCATGACTGACAGCTTACCAGTCATTATGTGCATTGTCCTAATATGTTCTCATCCCATCCCATCTGCTAGACCCAGTAGGTTTAAACAACTGAGGGAAATTATTTGCAAAGGCCTATTTGATCCGGGTTTGAAACGCTGCTCAAAGATAGGTGGAAATATTTACGAGTCAAGAGAGGCTGGCAGACAGCACATGAATGTTGGTTGACTAAGCGCCTGACAGGGATACAGAGAAAAATAATCGTAAATAAGCAGGTAAACGTGTCCAACCTATTTCTTAGAAGCTGCTTTCAGAAGTTGCTTACAGTTTTGTGACTGTATACATTCCCACGAGGGGTGGTCCCCATGGGAACCGAGAACCTCACACTGATGAATACTCTCCAGTTATACCGTACAGGACTATAAGAAGTCCCAAGTCAGTTTCAAGCTGTGAAAGCAGAATCTCTGGAGACAGCACAATGCTGAGTAGTCACAATCATAATTGAGACAATTTCAAAGACAGAAATCAGACCTCAAAATGGCATATTTGAAACTGTTGGTATCATCTCATCTTCACCATTAATGCCATGTTTCATGGAAAAGTAATCCCTAGGTGGTGTAGTCAGATATTAGGACACTGAGGTGCATTGTATGGAATGTGGAAACCATCCTGTCTGCAATGCAGAAGTGCACTTCCATGAGGATTGTTTAAAGATAAGGATGGCATTATTGTATATTTTTATACACACAGTGTTTCCCACACATAGACTTTACTTGGGTGTGCTCCCCTGGTATATTTGTTGACCCAATTTAGCATTTTGCAAAGAAAACACAGAGAGAGTTGCTATCTATTACGTTAAGATGCAGACACGGTGGATATTTTACAAGCACGGACCAGGTAAACAACAGTGAACACACTGGTGCAGGTGTCACTCCGTACAACGCTGGTTTGTGTTTCGATACTGTAGGCTTTGTCATTAACAACCCTCCTCCACATGCGGCGCACCTGTGGCTAAAAACAGAATTGCGGGTGAAAATCTCGAGTTCTGTGTCATCTCAGCGACTTTATAAAACACAGCATACTGCTGATGGAGAATGTCACCAGGGCAGACACATACAGGGAGAGAGAGAAAGAAAGAAGCAGGGCAAGCTGCTGTGTTTGCAGCAGAGGTGTACTGAAGGTTAAAGTGTGAACTGTACTAAAGGGAAAGGGAGCAGTTTCAAGTAGGCTAGTGAGTAAACACTCAAATAAACTTGGAGAATAAAGCAGAATTAAAATGGTTAAATAATAAATTATAATAATAATAGGGATCCCCTGATTTTTCATCAAACAGGTTGACTTTTGTGGTTTTGAGTGACATGTCTCAACAAGCTATGGGATGGATGGAAGTACTACAATGACAAAATACCTGCAAAACAAATGACGTTCCCATCATCTTCAGCTGTACATCTTGTTAGTGCTAAATAGCAAATAAACTGAGCTAAACTAAGATGGTGAATATGGTAAACATCATACATGCAGAGCATGTTAGTATTGTCATGGTGAGCATGTTATCATGCTGATGTTCGCATGTAGCTCAAAGCACCACTGTGTCTAAGTAGAGCCTCACAGACCTGCTAGCATGGCTGCAGTCTTGTTCTTATTGTCAACAAAGGCCAAAAACAAAAGTGTGTTAGTCTGTCTCTCAATACTTATCGACTTCCCTCCCCTGCCTGTGGCGCACAGCCCCAAGCCTGTTCTTTCCTACTGAAAATATAAATCTTAAAATAAATAAATAAATAAGGCTCAGTAACTTTCTCAAAACAGCTGGGCATTGTAGCTTTTAGCAAACATTATTCAAACAGGAGCAAAAAGTGCATCAGTTAAGGCCATTTTTAGTGGAGGATAAATACTAGACAGTATTTATGACACCAGCAGGGTGTAATGTAGGGTCAACTCAAAATAAACTTTGGTGCTCATGTTCCTTGTAATGAAGGAACACGTCATCCAACAGTGTGGTTCATTTATGTGCTTTTAATAGTCTTTGGGAAACAATGGAGGTCTTTGGCACAGAGGAATTAGCTAAACCAGGCTTTGGCCACATAGACAATAATTGTTAAAAGGATATATTCACTGTTGTTTTTGGTCTTTTCATGGGATTTGTTGACAATCCCTTATCCTTTAATTAACAAAGACAGTTAAAGACAAAGGAAAATCTGCCAGGCTATTCATTTTTAATGCAGTCATTAACTGTGTTATTCGCTTCTCTTCCCTTTTCTTGTTTGGTTTTACTGATTTTAAAATCAGCCAACTATTTATTCCGTATTCAGTTATTTTTAATAGTAGTGGTATTATATGTCTGATTCTGCCTTGTTTTATGCATTATGACATAATGTAAATGTCCCCATCAGGTTTTTTTAAGCCTCTAGTCCAATCCATGTCATTTCATACTGCTGAAACCAAATCCTGATGTTAAAGTAGTTCAACAGAGTGATGAGTACAGAGTAATGACATTTCTTTAAACAAGTGAATTTGCATGAATATGAGCTGTACGAGTGTAAAGCAGTGAAGTAATGAAAAAGCAAAAGCCTTCCAAGCATTAATAAAGGTAGAAAATTAACCAAACAAAACACTACCATCAAATTAAGTTACTTTTAATACTATTGTATTAACCTCGTATTAACCTCACCCAAAGCAGTGTTTGTATTCCACCACAGCCCTTTCGGCTATGTCTTTGTTTTCTTTTTCCTATGCCTTCTGTTTGCTTTGATTGCGAAGCACTTTGTAAATGTAATTGTAGAGATATGCTATAAGAACAAAGTAATTATTATTGAAGTGTTTAGAACCACAAAATAAGGAGATGACAAAGCCACACACACAGTGAGAAATGATAGCTGAGTGTTCTTACCCGATGATGGGGTGTTTGAAGCCCAACTTGGCGGTGGTCTGTTGGATCTCTTTCTCCAGCCACGCCTGTGGCCGCACCAGGTACTTGACAAACTGGGACACCCACCAGACAGAGGGGTCACCGTGCAGACGATGCAGGCGTGGGGCCAGGTCCTCAGGGATTGCCAGGGGCAGGTAGGGCGGCCGAGGGTGAAGACTGTCCACTATAGGCAACTCCACAACCTGAACGTCCTTATCATGGGCTTCTCCTGGATGGGTAGAAGAGGAGCACGTTGACATTATACACTTATTTAACATTTTTGACAGCACAGTTCAAGTTTAGGGCTGTAACAAATGATTAAGTTTATTATCGTTAATACAAACATTATTTTTGTCTATTATCAATTATTTAGTCTACAAGATGTCAGAAACGAGTTAAAAATGCTCATCACAGTGAGTTCGTCTCACCCAGAGACCAAAGTAATGACTTCAAATTGCTTGAGAAAAGCAGCAAATGGTCACATTTCTATGCTTAGCTAGCTATACCTGCACAGGTACTGGTGAGACATGAAATATGATCCAGGAAGCCCTGTTTGAGTAACATTTCTTTAACCTTGAATGCTCATCAGACACCAAAACACTGCACAGTGGTTTATAATACTTTGAGACAGGATTTTACAACTGTGGAGAGTTACTGCAGCGAGGTAAACAGTAGAAATACATTGTTTACAAAGCCCCTTGCCAGATGATGCATGCCACTGTGGTCCAGCAAAAGTTTAGCCAGGTTTACTTTTTTGCTGGGGCCCTTTGTGTTGGCACCCTTACTGCGTTGCCGGTCTGGCCTCATTCAAATATGCTGGTATGCTTTTGTTATTGTCAGCTATGAAAATTTAATTGACTTGACTGAACCAAGCCCAAACCCTGTGTGAGTAACAGATTGTCTGTAGGATTACAATTCATTTTTAGTTCTGATGGAAAGACAACTTGCACCTTTTATTCTAGTTTGAAGACACCACTTTCTGACAAAACTGACTAACATCTGTAGGTTTACTGAGCCTTTTTTCCCCTGAAAAACAAAACTATACATTATATTAGTAAAATGTAAAAAAATATTATGTTGCGGTGCAGTGAGACATTTAAGCATTATTCCTCAGCCTTATTACATTCATTCCTGTTCTGTTTCCCACATGAATCCAAATCTCTGATACCCTGTGAGTCCAGCTTTTGTGATTGACAGCTGCTCTTTGCCTGTCCTAACTTAAATGCCAAGGTAAGCTCCTTTCTATCAAGGCTGTGTATGGCCAGGGGCTGATGCAAGGACCTGTATTAGAGGGGGTGGGGAGCGGGGTGTCTGGCATTGGCCCCTACAGGCTGGGTCTTGCTTGGCAGGAGCCCTGGGCAGAGGGTTGAGGAGTGCTGATTACGAAGGTCACCTCTCTGGGCCGCATAAAGCCCCTGTGAACTGTCAGACCTCCACACACATCAAGGCCAACTGTCCATACACTAAGACACATAGGGCTCGATTTACTAACATCCTGAATAAAGAGTGCTAAATTGCGTATGCATTCTAAAATATTGCATGTGCAATTTTACTACCTGTTATGGGTGATTTACTAAGAATTATTGCGTAGATGACAATAGGAGCAAACACAATGGAGGTGGGGGTATTTAAATGAGGGTTTTGCGTGTTTTAATGGTTTCCGCCATGGAGAGTCAAGGGAGGGAAAGCAGCCACAGTGTAAAAACCTTGGTTTGTTTCGTTCAGTGCGTCCCGAGTATGTGGAAATCATATATACCTGCCTGAGATTGCACTAAGTACTTAGGACAGAACATGGAAAAACTGCTTTGGGAAATCCCAGTAGAAACAGCTACAGTATGCTGGAATGACCCAGACGCGAGGAAATGCCAGCAGATCGTGCTTCATCCAGCCAGAGGGAACAATCACCGATCGTGCCCGGTCGCTCCGAGATCTCCTGTCCTTGGCCCTGTACGCCCAATTCCCTCTCGGATACCTACAATTGGTTGTATTGCTATATTATGACCGGCGCACTGTGAACAGTTGGTGATTGTTCCCTCTGGCTGGATGCATTTTACGCGTGATCGGTGCTCTACTGCAGCTGGGGGCTCTCCGCAGCGCCACACAACTTTCTAAACTATTCCATCTCACGGAGAAAATAAATCAGGTCGAAACAAAATTTGCTTTATTGGCATGAATGTTAAAACAACAGTACTGCCAAAGCTAAAGGAAAATACAAAAAAATCTATTCATATAGTTCATTGAATAAATAAAATTACTGTATTTCTATATATTACATATAGAATAATATTATCTAATATTGTTACGCCCCAAATTGCATATTCATTAAGGCAAAAGCACTAAAGGAACAACAGGTGCTATCTTGCGCTTTTGAAAGACGTCACTCTGCGTGCACACCGTTAGTAGATCAGCTTACTGTACGTGCTAATTTGTTGGTGATATCAAGTTTGCACACATTTTTACTCACGCAAACCTTCAATCAGGCCCATACTGTACATATGCACATGTGATACACATGCAAACATGCATGGACACACCCACCTAAATGTACGTGGAAATACATACACGCAATAGGCACCTGTATGGTGTCTTGTCGACAGTAGGAAAAAAGGTCATCCAACAGTGACGACTAAGAGGGATCCAAATAAAACAACCATAAAAACAAATGCGCGCGCACACACACACACACACACACACACACACACACACACACACACACACACACACCCAGCTAATCATCTCACCAGAAGGGATATGCCTGGCAAACAAAAACCTTCACTCTCTTTCAGTCTTAAAACAACGTTTTTTCTTGTCCGTGTGTGTCTAAACCCCCGATTTACGTAAAAACAAGTTTGAGGCCTGTGTTCTGTCAGACTAAAGTGGCTTCTCTAACCGACACAGACAGGCCTTAATATAGCTGCAAACACATCCACAACACACTTCCAAATAAATGGCATAATGACTCATTAAAAATGGCCTTTCAGAGAAAGGGTACCTAAAAAACATGTTAAAAACAAGGACAGAAACAGAGGCTTTAATTTGCGTGTGTGCATGCCCGAGCATGAACTGAATATAAATTGGTAAAAGCATTAAATATTGAACAGAAAAATATTCCCAGGCCTGTCTTTGCTTATATAACAGCATTGGCATGATTCACATAAGGGGGAATGGGCATATTTTGAGGCCTGCTCTTCTTGGCACAAATGTACAGATATGCAGTATGTCTTCCTCCCACAGCTACTTAATTAGATCACAAAGCTCTTCTAAATTTCATCTCAACTCCAAAGCTTCTGCATAAATTTCCTGTATGCATCATGACTCTAAGCATATAGGTCTGCACTGACAAAGAAATCCTACACTGTATTTTAAGCCCACGATGTATACAGAGCCTAATCAATATTTCATAAGATTAACATAGCTATGAAACTGGAGAACCGAGAGTGACATCCAGACACAAAATACGGAGCCTCCCCATTCATAATACATTTGAGGGTTTATGAACTTGGAGAACTCTTGTTCTAGTCTTTACATGGTAGGGAACATTATGTTTCTCCTGCTGCTCACAGACTCACTCACAAGGCAGTAATATCTCTACTGAGAACCTCAAAGGAATACACTCTCTTTGGCAAATTAGCTCTTTGATCAACGAACCATTGTTCAACAAGAAGACTGGTTTCCCTATGTGTGTTCAGAATTTAGTCTGTTATACCCGGCCTGTGAGATGGTGTTAAATTCTCTCATGCTGTCCAGTGAACATAAAAGTGTTAGGTAAAACAGCAACATGCACTAGTGTGCGAAATGGACCGCAGGGCTAGGTATTGAAACTCATTATTTTCTTTTGGTATTGTCAGAAATATGTCTGTAGTACCAAAAACTAGCATTGAATGTCAGTTCAGATTTAAAGTCTTAGTTGCTACCTTGTGGGTACCGTATCAGCCTAGAATCCTGTCCAAAGAAAGGTACAAGGCAGGTCAACCTTCAATATTCCCATTTCATTCTGATGATCTAATAAAACAGATTCAGATTAACTGCACTTCCTAATTCAAAGTTCATTTTTGCCGGTAGTATTTTTATCTAGGTTAAGTTCTTGTAAGGTTGTTTGTGTTTAGAGAATGTTTAATGTTTGAGACTTCTGGCTGCTTTTGTTAAATAAGAATAAAGATTTGTCAGAAAGAAAAAAAAAAAGAGTCCTGTTTTGCTGTTAGACCCATAATTTTGGTATTTTCTCTGCACCAGAATCAAAAACTTCAAACAATATCCAGCCCCTAGAGAAGGACAGGCCAATGGGTGAGACCAGCTTTTATCAATATTCTTATTATGCTGATCATTTATAATTCATGCATATGTTTTATATGTGTATGTGTATGTCTTTCTTGTAACATCAACACACAACCTGTTTTCTGCTTTCAGTCATTTTATGTAGCAAATCATAGAGGGGCACACTGTGCATACTTAAGATTTCTTTAATGTGGATTTTCTTGTAATGTTTTGTTTTTCCCATTTCCAAAACGAAAATGAGCAAGTTCCATAATGACTTTATCGCTATGTTTGATGCCACCCCCACAAGCTATATGTTTTCCTGACAGATGCATATACCATGCATCCTTTCTCTGTCTGTACATGTCTCACATCCTATGGTTGACACTTAACAGAAAGTGGGCCAACCATGTAAAGATAAACGAGGAAAGTTGGAATCTGGTAGGGCTGCTAACTAAAATACCAACATAATATAGCAGAGACAGGATGATAAGGGTTCAAGAGTAACATAATGATTATGAAGGTACAAAGTTCCCTGCCATCCGGGCACTACGCAAAACCCGTTTTCATTTGCCTTGTATGTAAAAAAAACACAAAACAAAAACTGGTTAACCACAAACTAAAAAGTCATCATAACATAATGCATGCAAATTTTGGGGCTTGTATTGATATTTTGAAAACGTGCAGTGCAGCACCTTTTCAAAATATCAGTATTCACTACATTCAAAGACTGTAATTGTAATGGCAAGGATTCCACTTCCACTTAATTAATGAGATATTCAATGTATATCTACTTATTAATCCAAGGATTTAGCATCCCTTTGTGGTCCAGTACCCCAAGGAATGTTCTTGCATGCACTCTTTACAAAATAGGCATGACCACAGGCGTAGCAAAGTACCCAACAGGCTTACATTAGCTATGCCTAGCTAGTTAGCCAGCTTGGTCAACAGAACATACAGCCTCTGCAGATTGCA